CCGGCCCGGCCCGCGCGCCCGGTCGCGGGGCGGGGAGATGGGGCGCGCGCCCGGGACCCGGGAGCTGAGGGAGAGGACTTGGGGGCGCGCCCGCGCGGAGAAAGGCTGAGCCAGCGCGCACGCCCGTGGGGACCCCTAGACCATAGAAGGCCGTAGGGAGAGCCCCCGGTTGCCCCGCAGCGCGCATCCCGCTCGGGTCAGCGCCCCTGGCGGTGGAGCCAGGCCGCCGGCTGTGGACCTTGCGCTCAGGCCCCGACCCACGGTCAGCAACCAAGGGACACAAGCCCCAGGACATTTGGGATGCGGAAAACCGGCGCCTGCCTTGTACCAGTCCCTGTTTCCCAGAAGAGGGACCCCAGGCTCGCAAAGGAAAGCCACCTGCTGAAGAGCTGAAGGCCCGGGGCTGCTCCTCCTCAGCCCCCTCACTGCAAGGCTCTGTTACCGGTTCGATCCCCGAGAAAGCGCCAACAAACAACACGAGGTGGTGTGGAGCAACACGCCGTTTTAATGAGCGTCTGGCTGCGGACGGGCTGAGGCCTAAAATGGCGTCAGCCCCAACTGAGGGCGGGGCAGGGGTCTTACAGTCTCCTGTAAACGGGAAGTGTCCCAGTCCGACCTAAATGCTACGTGGTACCAGGAAGCCCTCTCTCTCGACCTTCTGGGGGTACTTGTCTTCCGGCCTGCCCTATTCCGGCTTCTGCTCTCCTGCTGACGCACGCTGCTGGCTCAAGTGGTCTTGCGCCTGGGGACCGGGCCTGAGGAGGGAGGAGGTGTCCCCCACAAGCTTTCAGGCCCCGGGGAGAATCTTTCAGGGAGGCCTTAAGATCCCCACTTCTCCAGGAGAAAACTGGTTGAATGGCCCCCAGATCACTCAGCCAGAGAACCCCAAGCCCTTGTCCTGCTTCACCCGCTGCGGAAGCCATTAGAGGTTACCAAAGGTCATTTCGGGCGCCAGCGCTGCCAGAGCACAAACCTCTCCACGGCCGCCACACCCGCAAAAGAAAGTTCAGCACCACGGAATCCACCCGCACACCCATGGAAGGTCTTGGATTCCGCGCTGTGCTCTGTGGCTTTTAGCGGTCTTTGCCATGAGTTGTATGAAGGCATGTGTCAGCAGGCACCTGATTGCTTGGTGCCGCTAAAATATGAATCTAGCGTTGCAGAGAAGGCCCAGCCTAGTGGGAGGTCAGGAAAGGGGGGGGGGTGAGGGTGCACAGGCCGACTGTGTAAGGAGTGCAGGAAGTGGAGGCTGACTAGCCAGGAAGACACACAACGATGCCACTGGGGTGACAAGGAAGGAGAGGATGAATGTCAGTCAGGCTTGGAAGGCTTTTTGGAGGAGGTGGTCTCTGGGCTGGGCATGGGCACCACACTGGGCTTCAGTGAGGCCTGCATGGGCTGAGCCTGCCCCTCAGGGATCAAGGGGCTTTTGGATGGTGATGCAGGGTGTTTAAGGTCACCCTTAAAGCCTGAGGGCCCTAGACCAGGGAACGTGTGTTGGCGGAAATCTCTGGAGATCCCAGAACTAAGGGGGTGATGGTCTGCCCTGTGTGGAACCAGGTCCTGTGGTAGGGGAATTCCAACGGGCTTCCTTTAAAGAAATAAAAGACAAACTTGTGCGGAAAAGGCAGCCTCAGAGTGGGTATTTGTGAGGAAGTCTGCGGGTGTCTTGCGGGTTGTACGTTTTATTGATTTGTTTTCCAAAAATCCAGACAGATGGTTGAAACTTAGGCTCAAAAGGGTTCCAAATGAAAGTGATTCATCTCCCTCCCCATCACCCAATATCCTTCCCTGTGGGCAATCAGTGTTTTCCACTTGAGTATATATCCAGAGAAATTTTGTGTATAAACAAGCATATATATATATATAAAAAATATGGCACACACACACATATGTATATATAAAATATGGCACATATACACACATACATATGTCTTGCCAGGCAGGTAAATCTCACTCTTGGACATTTATCCTAGAGAAATGAAAACTAATGTTCGCACAAACACCTGTACATAAAATGTTCATCATAGCAGCTGTATTCAAATAGGCCCAAACTGGAAACAGCACAGAGGTCCTTCATGGGTGATGATTACATACTGTGGCACATCCATGCCATGGAATATTATTCAGCAACAAAAATAAATGAACTGTTGATACATCCATCTTGGACGAAGCTCCAGGGAATTATACTGACTGGAAAACAAACATCACAAAAGCACAAAAGGTTACATACTGTATACTGCTTTTATACGAGATTCTTGAGATGGCAAAACTATAGAAGTATAGAGCAGGTGAGTGAATGTGGGGTCAGGGACAACACAGGGTAGGAAGTGATGTGGCTACAAAAGGTCAACATGAGGAGTCCCTGGAATGGAAATGCTCGGTGGCTTGTTACTGTATAAATGTGTGTTTCCTGGTGGTGATATTATCCCATAGTTTTGCAAGATGTCCACTGAGGGAAACGGGGTAAAGGGCACACATTATAGCATCCCTCTCTGTTATTTGTTACAACTACATGTGAATCTACAATTATCTAAAAAAAAAGTTTAATTACACAGAGAAAAAAGAACTGTACAGACGGCCAAGCAAAACACATCTGAGTGGACACAGCTTGCTAAACAGCTATGTTTCAGGTGATTTAAGGCAATCAGGATATTTTCCCAGCAGAAAGCAACCCATGGAAGACAGCAAAATTGGCCTATAATCCTAGCATTTTGGGAGGCCAAGGCAGGTGGATCACCTGAGGTCAGGAGTTCAAGACCAGCCTGGCCAACATGTCAAAACCCCATCTCTACTAAAAATACAAAAATTACCCAGGCATGGTGGTATGCATCTGTAATCCCAGCTACTCAGGAGTGTGAGGCAGGAGAATCGCTTGAACCCAGGAGTCAGAGGTTGCAGTAAGCTGAGATTGTACCATTGCACTCCAGCCTGGGAGACAAGAGCAAAACTCCATAAAAAAAAAAAAAAAAAAAAAAGGAAGACAACAAAATGATGGGTGAAACATTTTCCATTTGAGATTTTATCCCTTTACGTTGTCCTTAAACTTGACCCCAGACCCCCTTTTCACTTGCATACAACCCTGGTATGGGATGTATCTGAGGCCAAGCCAGGGGTCCATGGGTAGAGGCCACCCCCAACTTCTCTGTGTGGGCTGTTTCCACTCCCTGGCATTGGGCCCCTTCTCTGGGTGTCAGTGTTTGAGATGCAGGGAGGCAGCCATGGACGATGGGCTCTGCGCCTTCTGTCCTGGGCACAGGGACCCTCTGGGCTGGAAGAAGCCACAGATTTGAGTGAGCTGGTTACTCACTTGATAACAAAAACCAGATAGAAAATGTCTCCTGACCCACATCAGTGCCTTCCAAACTTCAACCACCATAAAACATTTTAAAAATAATATCTGAGTGCCACCTGCACTCTTACTTCCTATCTTTAAATCAAAATGTTTACATATATTTACTTAAGAAGCAAATTTTGTCTCTTCTGTAAACAAAAAGCCACTATCAGTTTGCAAAATATAATAGAAATAGCCATAAAATAAACACAGCGAAACAAAAGAATGTCTTCCAATTGCCGTCGGATACTATTTCCTGCTCAGGGCTGAGGCCCAAGACCTGCTCTCAGAGGTTTCACTGGGAAGATGACTAAACGCAAGGCAGTGTTGAGGACAAACCATACTAATCTTGACCTTTCTCCTTGAGCATACAAGTATGGAGAGATTTTTCAAGGCAATTAACTTTTTCCTAGGAGGATGTTGTCCTATCTATTAGAGCCTATCCACCATCTTTTTGTGACAACAGTAATTTTTATTTGTATCTTTTTATTTATTTATTTATTTATTTATTGAGACAAAGTCTTGCTCTGTTGCCCAGGCTGGGGTGCAGTGGCATGATCTTGGCTCACTGCAACCTCTACCTCCCAGGTTCAAGCGATTCTTCTGCTTCAGTCTCTCATGTAGCTGGGACTACAGCCACGTGCCACCACGCCCGGCTAAATTTTTTTTTGTATTTTTAGTAGAGATGGGATTTCACCGTGTTAGCCAGGATGGTCTCAATCTCCTGACCTTGTGATCCGCTCGCCTCAGCAGGATTATAGGTGTGAGCCACTGCACCTGGCCTATTTATTTATTTTCGAATCAAGGTCTTACTATGTCGCCCAGGCTGGAGTGCAGTGGTGTTAGCTTGGCTCACTGCAGCCTCTACCTCCTGGGCTCCAGCAATCCTCCCATCTCAGCCTCCTGAGTAACAGGGATTATAGGTGTGTGCTACCACACCCACCTAATTTTTGCTGTGTGTGTGTGTGTGTGTGTGTGTATGTGTAGACAGGGTTTTGTCAGGTTGCCCTGGCTGGTCTCGAACTCCTGGGCTCAAAGGATCTGCCCCCATCAGGCTCCCAAAGTGCTAGGATTACAGGCATGAGGCACTGTGCCAGGCCAAACAGTAATTTTTAAGAATCATTTACAATGGGGAACCTCAAAGAGCCATAGAGTAGACAGAATGGTATAATGAAACCCATGACTGTCCAGTCCTATGGCTACAATCCATAGCCAATTCTGCTGCTTCTGCAGTCACCCCAGGCCCCACCCTATCTCATTTTGAAACAAATCCAAGACATCCTGTCATTTCATCTGTATTTCAGTGTGTATCACTAAGAGATAACAACCCTTTTATAGATATAATATAACCACAATACTATTATCACACATATTAAAAATTAACAGTAATCTTATGGTCATAAATTACTGTTAGCGTTCAAATTTCCAACTGTCTCATATATGTCTTAATGCCTTTTTACAGTTTGTGCTTTGAGAATGAGGATATAAGTAAAGCTCACACATTGGAATTGATTGAAATGTCTTTTAAGTCTCTTTCAATCTATACGTTTCCTTCCCCAATCTCTCTTTTTTCCCTTGCATTTAAATGTTGCCCCTTTATCTCTGGAGTAGACATTTGTGTTTTCACACACCCCCAAGCTGAGTCCCACCTCTCCTGGGCCCTACTGCAGCAGCAGTGAGGGATCCCCCCACACAAGTCTGCACCAGGTTTATTCATGGACTCTGGAAATGGAGGAAAGGGACACCCGCTGTGGACCTTCAGCATCACCTCTGAGCTGGAAACCTTGGCTTTGGGAAAAGGAAAAAAGAAAACGAACACCAGAAGCACTGGAATGGCTTCCAACTTTGCAAAGTGCTTTCCAAAACCCCGTCATACTTAAGAGAATGGCACCACTTCATTACAGAAATGGCTGCTTAAGTCAATGCCCAGACATGCCTCCCGCTCACATCCGTGAGCAGCTTTTCTGGATGTGTTTACTCTTTCTCAGAATGTGTTCCTCACGCTTGCCACCTTCAGCCTCTGCCGGGATTGGTGATCGTTTGCTTCCTGCAGGTCCCTGGGTCCTTCCCCACAGGTGTCACTGGATGATGATGGCTGCAGAATAAGTGATGGTAGCCAGCTTGTCACACCTTCAGGCTTCCTTGGAAGTTCAGGCACATGTGTGTTATCCCAGCCACCTCAATCTGATTCCAGCAACCCTAGCTGGACACACAAGTGGGTCCTCAGACCAGGCCACCAACACTGGAAGAGTGCAGGCTCTACTCCTTACTTTCTAGAATTACCCCAACCCATACAGCAGCACAGTCCCATTTTGTGATGGTTAATTTGCGGGTGAACTTGACTGGGCTAAGGGATGCCCAGATAGCTGGTAACACATGGTTTCTGGGTGTGTCTCTGAAGGTGTTTCTGAGTGACATTAGCATTTGAATCAGACTGAGTAAAGATCTGCCCTCACCAATATGAGTGGACATCATCCAATCCCTTAAGGTCCCAACTAGAACACAAAGGGGGAGGAAAGGCAAATTCACTGTCCGCTTGAGCTGGGACATCTGTCTTCTCCTGCTGTTAGATATCGGAGCTCCTGATTCTCAGGCCTTTCGACTCGGGAACTTATATGAGCACCCCCACCCCCACCCCAGGCTCTCAGGTCTTTGGATGCCATCATATCTCCAGGCTCTAAGGCCTTCAGGCTTGGACCAAATTATATCACCAGCTTCCTTGGGCCTCCAACTTGTAGTCAGAAGACTCTGGGACTTCTCAGCCTTCATAATTATGTGAACCAATTCCCCTAATCTCTCCCCTCTCTACAACTCCCCCTCCAACACACCCACACTGTTATTCTGTTCCTCTGGAGAATCTAATAGACTTTTGCTGCTTCTGAGCTCCTCTCAGTGCCAGAGTGGTCAACACAGATCATGGTACACCCCTCAGGGATCCAGCCCTCCAGAGCTTCCCAGGTGCCTTTTACACAGAATTCAAACTCCTGCTTGTGGTCCCCAGGCCCTCCGAGGCACCCTCTCTCACCTCTGCCTCCCACACTCACTCCTCTGGCCTGGCCCCTCCTGGGTAGTTCAGACCTCCCGTAGCACAACTAGCAAATTGGACCCCCTAGGGAGGATCATTTTGGAACCATCCCTTCTTTATAAGACAAGATTATTTTCAGCAATAAACATGAAATATAATAATTTCTAGGAAAAAAAAATAACTTTTTTAAATTAAACTTTCTATATACAAGCAAGCCAGCAAAATTTTTAAACAAAATAACTATTATAGCCAAAAAGGAAAAGATAGTGGCTTAATATTTTTAAAATTACATTAATGTATTTTTAGTTACATTCGGCATAGGATAGCTGAATAGCAGTAATTCAAATTTGTCTTTATAGTCACTGTGCTATCACTGGTTATCTCAAATCTACTGTTTAAACACAACAATGTATAGTTCCATAAGGGCTGGGGGCAATAACTGTCCCTGAAGCAAGCTCAAATGATTCCAAAAAGTTATAAGCTTAGTCCAGGAACAAACACATGAGCTGAATTCATGTACCTGGGTGCCATTCTCTTCTAGGCATTCTGTAAATTGACATCCATGTACAATGCATTGCTAATAAAGGATCAATTCTTTTAAAAATGTTTTATTTTAGGCCAAGTGCAGTGATTTATGCCTATAATCCCCGTGCTTTGGGAGGCCAGGGTTGGAGGATTGCTTAAGGCCAGGAGAGTGAGAATAGCCTGGACAACATAGTGAGACCCTATCTCTACAAAAAAAGCCTTAAAAATTTAGCTTGGCACACACACTATGGTGGCACACACCTGTAGTCCTAGCTGCTCAAGAGGCTGAGGTGGGAGAATCACTTGACCCCAGGAGTTCTAGGCTGCCAGGAACTATGATCTCACCAGCGCACTCCAGCCTGGGCAACTGAGACTTTGCTTAAAAAAAAAAAAAAGTTTTATTTTAAAGTTTGTGTGTTATCAAAATTCAACAATGCAACAAAAGTAAAAAATAAATAAATTGAACTACATCAAGGTAGAAACAGGCCAGGCATGGTGGCTCATGCCTGTAATCCCAGCACTTTGGGAGGCTGAGGCAGGCAGATCACTTGAGGTCAGGAGTTCGAGACCAGTCTGGCCAACATGGTAAAACCACATCTGTACTGAAAATACAAAAATTAGCCAAGCATGGTGGCACACATGTAATCCCAGCTACTCAGAGGCTGAGGCATAAGAATCACTTGAACCTGGGTGGTGGAGGTTGCAGAGAGCTGAGATCATGCCACTGCACTCCAGCCTGGGTGATGGAGTGAGACTCTGTCTAAAAAAAAAAAAAAAAGCAAAAACATGTGCATCAAAGGACACAACTCAACGTAAGGAAAAGGCAACGTACAGAATATGAGAAAATATTTACAAATTACATATCTGATAAGAGGTTAATATCTAGAATATATAAAAGAACTCCTACAACTCAGCAACAACAGACTAATAACTCAATCAAAAGATGGGCAAAGGAGTTGAATAGACATCTCTTCAAAGAAGGTATATGAATGGCCAACAAACAGATGAAAAGATGTTCAACATCATTAATTATTAGGGAAATGTATTTCAAAAACCACAACGAGATACCACCTCACACTCATCAGATTGGCTACTATATTTAAAAACAAACAAACAAACAAACAAAAAAGAAACCACAAAACCAGAAAACAAAATGCGGAGAAACTGGAACCTTTGTGCACTGCTGAAGGAATGTAAGATGATGCAGCTACTATAAAAAGCAATATGATATATCCTCAGAAAATTAAATGTAGGATTACTATATGGTTCAGCAGTCCCACTTCTGGGTATATACCCAACACAACTGAAAGCCCATATGGTACACCCATATTCATGGCAACATTATTCACAATAGCCAAAAGGTGAAGGCCATCCAATTCATCCACCGATGGATAAATAAACAAAATGTGGCCTATCCATTCAGTGGAATAATATTTAGTCTCAAAAAGGAAGGCTAGGCCTGGTGGCCCACGCCTGTAATCCCAGCAATCTGGGAGGCAGGCAGGCAGATAGGATTAGCTGAGGTCAGGGGTTTGAGACGTGGTAAAACCCTGTCTCTACTAAAAATACAAAAATTAGCCAGGCATGGTAGTGAGCACCTGTAGTCCCAGCTACTCGAGAGGCTGAGGCAGGAGATTGAACCCAGGAGGCAGAGGTTACAGTGAGTGAAGATTGTGCCACTGCACTCCAGCCTGTGTGACAGAGCAAGATCCCATCTTAAAATAAATAAATAATGAATAAAAATTCACACCTATAATCCCAGCACTTTGGGAGGCCGAGGCGGTCGTATCACCTGAGGTTAGGGGTTCGAGACCAGCCTGGTCAACATGGCGAAACCCTGTCTCTACTAAAAAAGTACAAAAATTAGCCAGGCGTGATAGCGGGTGCCTGTAATTTCAGCTACTCGGGAGGCTGAGGCAGGAGAATCACTTGAACCCGGGAGGTGGAGGTTGCAGTGAGCCGAGATTGTGCCACTATACTCCAATCTGGGCAACAAAGTGAGACTCTGCCTCAAAAAAAAAAAAAAAAAAAATTCATGCCCAGGCAACAAAAGACATGTTAGGAAACTTTCATTTCACCCACAGCCTCATCAACACAATGATCAAATGGAAATTTAGGTTTTCCACAACTTTCCATGGTATTCACCTAAGGAGGAAGCAACAATTTTCTTCTGTTGATCTTGCAGCTTTCAGATTGTTTGCCCTGCATCTGAGACTTTTCCTTAGGGGGCAGGTGTCTTCCTGTCTTGTCAGAAGGAGGGTGACTTCCTGTAAAATGTCGCAGTCTTCCTCTCAGCTCAAGGAGCAGCTTACTTTAAAATTAAGTACGATTACTTAAGGAGGCTTAAGTTAATCATTTGCGTGATTAGCCAAGGAAATTCAGCTAAATGGTTGACAATATCTCAATACTTACATCATAAAAGTACACATTAGACTGTGTTAAACTGTCATGTCTTTTCTTTTTCTTTTTTTTTTTTTTTTTGAGACAGAGCTTTGATGGAGTTTTGCTTTTGTTGCCCAGGCAACCTCAGCTCAACACACACACACACACACACATTCAAAAGTATTTATATAAATGTTTTTGATCATTCAGTTAAAAGAAAATAATGCAACATTGAAAATATTTTTTTTTTTTGAGATAAGAGTCTCACTGTGTCACCCAGGCTGGAGTGCAGTGCTGTGATCTCATCTCGCTGCAACCTCTGCCTCCTGAGTTCAAGTGATTCTCCAGCCTCACCATCCTGGGTAGCTGGGACTACAGGCAACCACCACCATGCCCAACTAATTTTTAGTATTTTAGTAGAGAGAGGTTTCATTATGTTGGTCAGGCTAGTCTCCCTTGACCTCATGTGATACCTGCCTTGGCCACCCAAAGTCCTGAGATTACAGGTGTGAGCCACGGCACCTGGTCTGTAATGTCTTTTAATTCATTACCTGGCTTGACTGAATTAATTTATGTTTAGGGGTTTTGTATTCATCAGAAGTTGCATGAGCTAAATTTTTTTTTTTTTTTTTTTNTTTTTTGAGACAGGATCTCACTCTGTCGCCCAGACTGGAGTGCAGTGGTGAAATCTCAGCTTACTTACTGCAACCTCCACCACCCAGGTTGAAGCAATTCTCCTGCCTCAGCCTCCCTTACAAGCATGAGCCACCACATCCAGCTAAATTTTGTATGAGCCACTGCGCCTGGCTATGAGCTTAAATTTTAATTAGTTGGGGAGAAAAGGAGAGAAACCTGTTCCTGCCATTTTTACAATCTAGGCCCTAAATACTTCTCCATGTATTGGGAAAGGGTGAAATAAGAATGAAAAGATGGGTAGACATACAGATAGACAATTCCCAGAAGAGGAAAATTCAAATGGTCAACATACATGCGAAAATCTGCTTTTCTTTCTCAATAACCAGAGAAATGCTGATGAAAACAGTAACAAGGGGCCAGCACCGTGGCTCATGCCTGTAATCTCAGCACTCTGGGAGGCTGAGGCGGGCGGATCACTTGAGGTCAGCAGTTCGAGACCAGCCAGGCCAACATAGTGAAACCTCATCTCTGCTAAAAATACAAAAAAATTAGCAGGGCGTGGTGGCAGGCACCTGTAGTCTCAGCTACTCGGGAGGCTGAGGCAGGAGAATTGCTTAAACCTGGGAGGCGGAGGT